CTTGATTTCGATATCCACTGAAGGCACTTTAAATTTGAGGTTGTATAAAAACTACAATACCTCTCCATATCATTTTAGTTATATCTTCTCTTATCAAAGCTCCTTTCAACCACTGACTTGGTATGATTACCATGCGGGATATCGTTTAAAGATTAAAGTAATCTGCAGATTAACAAAAGTTAAAAATAAGCTTGATCTTTTATCTCGATATCCACAACACAAAAGTTTCGAGCTCATGATAACTTTTGTGTAGAATACTCATAATCCCGATTGCATGATAGCGGTATCCACTATGGGCACTTTCAATTTGAGGATCCATAAAAACCGTACCTTTAGTGTAAAGATTAAATTAATCTGCAGATTAACAAAAGATCAATATCGATATCCACAATACAAGAGTTTCCAGCTCAGTTTAACTCAGTTTTTCCGTAAATTAAATTTGTTACCTTTGGATAAAGAGAATCATCTTTTCCATACTTGTTAACAAAGTAGGCTGCAGCAGCTCTTGATTCATTCATAGCAAACTCACCTACAATCAAGGTTGTATAATAATAAGTCGGGTTACTATCGATGCGCTCCTATGTCGTCTTCTAAGATAGATAGATAACCTCACATGACGTTACACTCGCCTCTAGAGACCATATTTCTTAATCAAATTATCTGCATTCAGCTGTCATTAATATTTTTCGTCGATTTTAGGGTGAGAGTCTATGTTAACACATTGAACAGTGGTACCACAAAACTTAAAAAGTGTCGCCTTTTTATTTCTTTTATTCAAGAAGTGCCCAAAAATGTTGTAGCATGTAAATATTTTTAATGAATACATTTCCTTTCATTTAGTTTAATTAACATAGAAATTACAAATTCCTTAGCGGTAATCAATAGGAAAATTGTGAAAAAAGAAAGCAATTATTTTATTGCGCTCAGGTTTATACAATCATGATATTCGTCGAATATACAGATAGGGTTGTTAATCGTAACGTTTTTTTAAAAACGATACTTTTTTAATAATTTTTTTTTTGTCTTGAAAAGGACGTTAACGACAAACTTTCGTTAACGAGCGTGGAAAGTTAAAAACGGCCTACTTTCGTTAACGAAACGACGAACTTTCTCAAAAAAGATAGTTTATAAAAACGATATTTTTCAAAAACGATCGTAAAAACAGCCTTCATTTATTTTCTTCGTCGTTTTAAATCAAAACGATCGTTCTTTTTAAAAAGCTAAAACGATCCATCCTATAAACATGGGATTGGGAATTAAGAGACAACTTGAATATCGTCTTTGATTTACAATAATCATGATAAATGACATATGGCCAATTTCTTAGACGCTCTACCATAGGTAGAACTATAGTCACACTATGGTTACTCTTTACCAGAGCAGTGTAGATTGATAGATACGACCTATAGTTGTACCTATGGTTAAATGAATAAGAAATTGGCCAATAAAATGCATCAACGAAATAATCCTGCTTGGAATAAAGACGATATAGAAGTCGTCATTTAATACCCATGTTTACTGGGACACCCTGTATGTAAATTAAATCAAATAATATCTACATAATACATATATATAATATATATAGTATATATGATGTTTCTGTATATTAAACCAGTTTTGAATTTACTTGTGTAAAATTAAATTGAATTCAATTAGATACATCCAACAAGTGTCTAGTGCACAGTGGGCCTGGTAGATGTTAAGATTTTAAGAGATCTAAATTTTTTCTAAATTTCTTTTGAATGTGGTTACAGTAAAATAAAATTTTAATGACGACTTATTAAGAATATGCATAATCAAAATAAACTAACAAACAAAACAAACAAAAAACTATTTTTACCTCAACAATTCGGACTGGGGCCGAGAGCTGCATACCGTAGATGTCAATAGGAGCCATTTTAATCTGAAAAAGTCCTCATATAAAGTTTAATTTATAGAGTAAAACTTATGAGGCAACTCGAACCCCAGGGAAGGTTTATGGATGCTCAGAATCGCAAAAAAATTATCTCCGAAAAAATAAGATTTTCGTAAATTTTTTTTAATCTACGAAAAAAAATTATAAATTCTCGAAATTAGGTGCATGCAGCCTATGTTATTTTATAAATAGCAATAATCACACTGGTGCCGGTAGAGTCGGTACCACTACCGGCCGACTGATCTGATACTGAAAATTAAGGCTCTAAAAGTACGGCTTCAGCTACGACAAGATCTGCAGGGATATGTTCGAGCCTAAATTCAAAAAGAAAAAATATTTCAAAATAATTTTAAAAAATTCTATTTTTTTGTTTGACAAGGGAGGGTAAAAATTCCGAATGAAGTCGTGAACCCCTGATTCAGGGAGTAGCTTGGATTGGCTTGGTGTGGCCTGACATGGCTTGACAGATGAGGGCAGGCCGGTACATGTTGCCTAGATCCTGTCTTACTGCCTGCATATAGAGATTTATGCAGTTTCACACAATCGGCTTTTTAAAAATATTTATTTTGTTAGAATATAAAAGCGAAGTATAATTGTGAATGAAGTTAAAAAAATAACCGAAAACATTGAAAAATGTTTTATATATACATTACTGGAAGTTTAAATAAATCAAAAAGGTGCCGAGGGGTGTATTAGTCTACTTATCGTTATATTTCATAACATGCAAGTGGTCCCAGTAAGAATAACAACACGAAGACGACCTTGTTAAACGAGCCATCAATTGCATTAACATCCATGTTCATATAAAAGCCGGGTTCTAGAGACCTAAATACCACTCTTTACAAATCTTGCTTGGTGGTATTAAGGGTAGATCATCTACCTTACGCGTTCTTTAGAAGTGTAAATACTGGTATTATGCATGATACCGGTATTACAAAGAGTGGTGTTACCTAAATCCAGCCGCAGGGTGGATTTAGGTAGGATAATCTACCTTATATACCAGTTACAGGTGAAAAAAAAAATCATTTGATTATAGTTATAACGGAAAATCATCGTTTGTAAAGTGGAAGGCATTATATAGTCTATGTGAAATGATCATTCGTCAATCATGAAACCAGCCTATTTCATAATTTGGTTTTCTTTTAATATTAATTTTAGATTTTCTATAAAATGATATTCCAGGGCCCAACAGGTTATATAGCATACATATGTGAAGTACACCTGCAGTATGGAAACAGTACAACAAAATGGCCGTTTTACACTTTTTTCTAGTAAATTTCTCTCTATATATTCTATTCTCTATGCATAGTTCTTAAACATATTTCAGTTGGAAGATGTTAGTTGGAAAAGTACAAAATCTGTCTAAACAGATAATTGTACCTTCAGTTCGACTATTCTCATCATCCTCTACTCAACCTGATACAGGTTTTTTAATAATCAATTTACAGTTATATCCAATTTCTCCAAGAGAGTGATAACTAGAAAACTGTGGAATAGGAAGACGACTTTCAGACTCAAGTTATTATTTAAATTATGAAAACATGAAACACAGCAATTGTACAGTGGACAAAGACCAATTTCACTTGATATAGAACTCCTAAGCTACTAGTAAAACTATTTGTTTTGTAAAAACATCAAATACAGTTATAGATTGCTCTAATGTCTTCTATTTCACAGTGAGCAGTTTCTTTTGTGTACAGTGATAACCAGAAAACTGAGGAATAGGAAGACGACATAATAGCAATACTGAAGTGTAATTGATGATATTATTAAAATAGTTTTATCAGTAACGAATTAAATCACTTATTTAGTGAAATGGGTCAATTTACATTGCTGTGTATAATATGTTCATTTAACTATTTAAAGTCAAAGCTTGTGTCTAAAAGTCGTCCTATTTTAGAGTTTTCTGATTATCAATCATAGATTAATAACAATACAGATAGAACACTTTATGTCGTATTTTCAAGATTTAGTGGTTTTTCGTTCACAATAACCCTGAGCCAGAAGCCCAAAGGAGTTACGCGCATGTTGCGTTGAATTACAAGACAGAGAGAGAGCTTGTTCTCCTTTGGGCTCCTCAGTCCTCAGGGTTATTGTGAACGAAGAAACCCTAAATCTCAAAAAACGACATCTAGTGTTTAAAATCTTTTTTATTTTTGCTAAAAAATTGAATTATGGACATTGGTTAATTAAAACCAATTTCCAAATAATTTAGCAAGCATTAATAACGATCTTTAAAATTTGTCGCAAATATTCCGCTAATTCCGTTAAAAACCATCTTTAGCATGATTGAAAAAAGTGCAATATTGATATTTCTGCAAGGATATGCTTCTGCTTCTGTGGACTATAAGACTGCATCTCCATTCAACAAAATTCCAGCTGAACCATTCAGAAACTTGATTGTCAGGAAATTCAAAATTTTATTATATAATATTGATAATTTTGGGTATTTGGTTATTTTCTAATTTTTATTCTTTTGGTTTTACTTAGTTATATATACATACTTTGCTTGTCTGTCTGTCTCTTTGTTTGTTTGTTTGAATACAATAGACGTAAAAACGACTGAACCGATCTTGCTAATAATTGTTGAAGCAATGAAATCCGCGAAAATTTAAGAACGATTTAAAATGGCATCCTTCAGAGTTTAGAGCTAAAATTGTTTAAAGAATCCTAAAGTTACCATGCCAAAGGAAGCCCGGTTGGATGATTTTTTTATAAAGGTCCTTAGGGCAGGCAGTCAAATTCTTTTCATATTTTTTACTATTTTTTTCTAAATTCCAAGCAATCAAAACGCTAAGGATAATCATAAGCTACCCAGATCATATCTCTAAAAAAAATTTCTAAGTAAGCGAATCAAAATATTTTTGTCCACCCTCTAACACTCAAAAAGGAAAAAATGTCTGAGAAAATATATGAATTTGAACCAGATATCTAAAAGACAAGAACTACCTACAGAAGGGACATCTACTGTTCAGGGAGTTACATGAGAAGCATGGACCAATATTTAAATACTCTGATTGGTTGATTTTATACACTTTTCAGGATACAAGTACAAGATTAGGTTAGTCTCGATATTAAGAAAAAGAGAGGTTCAAGCATTAATCTCAATGTCCACCATTCTAAAGTTGTCAGCTCAGGTCTAACTCTGTAAGTTGCAAGTCTAAGGGCTGGCAGCTGTCGATTAAGTGATCTAAGCTATAGTTACCTTATTCTGAAGTTGGGTCTAAGATGAAGCCTTATAAACGTGGGTTTAAGGAATTAAATCCCAAGCTGAAGCTTTTAAATCGTGGGCTCAGAGCTGGGACTTTTTGTTTTGCATATTTGAAATAATATGGAAAATGAACAGCCTTTAGTGATTAGACTATTTGAGATAAGTGAGGTTAAGATTACTATAAAGTCATTATAAATTAGATCGTTGTGCAGGATTTAAGTTCTTTGTTGAATACAGACAAAACCTTAGGAAGGATCTATTCCCTGAAACTGCAGGGTTGGGAGGTTCTCAGGGAGAGATGTGGTATGAAGGTAGTATATACACCTTTTCAAACTTTTAAAAGCTCCAGAAGGATCTAGCGAAGGTCTCTTTTTTTGAAACTGTTAACTTCTCAACTTTACTCAAACTTTGACAGCCCATATCTAGAAAAATAAATTCGGCTAACTAGCTAAATGTTAACTAATGTTGGTTTTGCTTCACCCATTTGGAAATAAATACATTAAAATTCATTTGCCATAAATGCCTAAGTACTCCAAGTGAAAATAATCAAAATTAAAGGGAGTGTTCGCGAAAAATGAAAGGGGGTATAGGCTTAATGCGATAAAAAATTGCGCTTTTGATCGCTACTAATCTTACTTCTATCTGTTGCGTCTATAAAGAGAAAATTGTTAAAAACGACTAATACCGAAGAACGTAGTGTCCATACAAATTCAGAAAGTTTCAACATTCAACTCGGATCGTAAACAAATCAATTTAATTCCAAACAAATCATTCAGATATTACAAACAGTAGCCATCGATTATTTTTCGACGCATTCGTATATAGTTAATATTTCATAAATTTTTTATTTTGTTTTTTTAAATAATTTTCGCTGGCGCTGGATTTTCGAACATTCCTGGAAAATAGGAAAATGTCGTCTTCATTATCAAAAATCCTCGAAACAGGAATAAATGTTTTCAAAAGTAACTCTCAGATCATGAAAAATACTAAATATTATGAAATATCAACTATTGTCTATTTACGAATGCGTCGAAAATTAAGAAGCCCTAAATATTGACAAATCTTAAACCATCAAATCTTATCAGCAAAACAGAAAGTCTTATATCTCTCAACAAACACTCCAAACTCTAAACTGAGCAAAATGTTTTTAAAACTAATCAAAATGTATTGCAGTACGATCCAAAGTCCAGCAGGACATGCTGAGACCCAAGTCCGCCCTGTTCTATATTGATGAGATTACCGGAGTTTCTGATGACCTATTGGATCTAATGGTGGGAGGGGGTACTGGTGACAAGAAGATAGTTCCTGATGTTTCTCCATTCCTGTACAGATGGTCACTGGAAGCAGTTTGTGAAAGAGATTAAGTAAACAGTCAGCTGTATATTTTGAGTTAATCAATCAAACAAGGTGTAGATTTTGAGGTTATTGTATATTTCCACAGTGTGTCCAGTGGGAGGGAGCGTGGCTTTAACTGAAGACTCAGTTATTATGGAAATGCAACTATTTTCGTTCATTAAGCCCATTGTGCTATTTTACATGAAGGTTACGGCACATATAAACTTGTCAGACGCCCAGATGTGTCAAACCTCCATCTATATCTACTTGATCTGTGTGTTTATGTTTTGTACACAAATTTGGCTTGCATGTAGGTAGACTAGACATTTATAAATCTTTACAAGGCTGTAAAAAAGCCTTATTTGTTCTCTTGACCAAAATACAATGCATCAATTGATGGATGTACTTTTTTTAGAATCGGCTGTTTGGATGTTAACCCATCACATGATGCAAAAGGTTACAAAAAAAAGAATATTTAAGAAAATAGATTATTAAAAATAACAATTTAGAAATGATTCGTTGTTCAATGATTTCTTTGGGCCCAGTGGTTTTGAAGCTGATGTTTGGTCTCCCATTATGGAAGCTATACAGAACAAAAAACTTGGATGATTTTGATATGGCATCTGAAAGAATGCACATAATTTCATCCAGGTACATTTCTGATGCCAAAAAGAAGTTTAAGACCAACAATATCACAGACCCAGATAAGATGAGTGTTCTCCAGAAATTAATTCACAAGTGCGGACCAGACTCCAAGATCCCAGAGGTTATGGCAATAGATGCATTAGGTGCTGGTATTGATACTACCGGAAACACTGCTGCGTTCCTATTTTACCATCTAGCCTCCAACCCTGTACAGCAGGAGATATTGTACAAGGAGATCAAGGATAAGCTTGGAGATGAGAAACTTACCCCAGCCATTCTTAACCAGATGAAATACTTAAAGGCAGTTCAACATGAAAGCCAAAGATTGATGCCTGCAGTGGGTGCTTTCAGTAGAATCACTCAGAAGGAAATGGTGCTTAGTGGTTACCAAATACCAACTGGAACACATGTATCCTTTATGTCAATGGGTCCAATGCTATCAGAGAAACATTTTACAAATGCTGATGCCTTTGTTCCAGAGCGCTGGCTTAGAGATTGCCCCCAGAAGCATAATGCACATCCTTTCGCTTTTATACCTTTCTCGCATGGAGCACGGATGTGCATAGGAAGACGATTTGCAGAACTTGAAATTCAAATCTTGGCAATTCAAACTCTCAGGTATATAAAACTTTAATTACAGAAATGAGGTGTTCAAGGTTTTTAGGCTTTTTAAAGGACAGTCTTAGATTTTATAGACAAGTGTTAATATTGATTAATGATTTTACTATAAAGTAAATGAATTTATTTCACTGGACATAGGTACAAAACCTTCGTTTTGTTAATGCTAAGTTTATGTTGATTTCTTCAAAATAAAAATTTGCTTTTTGTAATAATACTATAGCTTCTGCACTCTGCAGTGAGCGGGGGAAGGCAGTCGGCCATGAGCCACCACTATTTCCCCTTCCGTGCCACATATTAGCTTTTTTCTCTTCCGGTAGCCATGAGCCACCACTATTTCCCCTTCGGTACCACCACATTTGACTCTTCCGGGCAAAACTACTTTTTTTAATGGTATATTTAGGGCCTTTAAAGTGTGATTTTAAAAAATCCAGCCGCGTCACGCAAAACAGCACAACTAAAACCTTTTTTTCAATTCTACTTAAGATTAATATTTTCTGTGTTGAATTCTTAAACTGTTTTACAATGAAATTTTTGACAAATTTGACTGAGTATTGCATCTTGAAATATCACAAAGTTGGTTAATGAGTGATTTTAAGATGGATTTAGTGTAATGAGTCAGTAATTGAATAATCATGAGACTTTGTGATATTTCAAGATGCAATACTCAGTCAAATTGGTCAAAAATTTCATTGTAAGACAGTTTAAGAATTCAACACACAAAATATTAATCTAAAGTAGAATTTAAAAAATGGTTTGAGTTGTGATTTTTTGCTTGACGCGGCTGGTTTTTTAAAAAAACACTTTAAAGGCCCTAAATATGCCATTTAAAAAAGCAGTTTTGCCCGGAAGAGTCTAATGTGGTGGTACGGAAGGGAAAATAGTGGTGGCTCATGGCTGCCGGAAGAGAAAAAAGCTAATATGTGGCACGGAAGGGGAAATAGTGGTGGCTCATGGTCGCCTGCCTTCCCCCGCTCCTGCAGCATACAGCTTTGAAATAAAACTTATATATTGCTAAAACCTTGAAAAGAAGGAACCCACCACTATTTTCTTTTAATTTGCTTGTCTTGTCTGGTTGTGAGAGTTGTAAGGATAGCCAAAACTATTGTAAAAATAAACTGTAATAATTATTTACAACTACTCTACAGGGAAGTTTGGGGAATTTTACTTTACCAACTATGACCAATTTTGCCCACAAAACATCAAGAGCGCAAGGGCAAAGTTGGTCCAGGGAACTCAAGTCAAGTAAAATTTTCAATTTGCCGACAAAAATTAAAATTTGGCCGAGGAGGTGGTTATTTTACTTAATAGTCCACAGGGACGTTATTATTTTTTCCCCTTAGCTGCAATTTCCCAAGTGGTAACTTCCCAAGGCCTAATGTAACCTTTGGGAACTTGCTGTTTGAGAAATTGTCACTTGGGAAGTTGGCCTTCGGGAAATTACCTATCACATAGATATAGGACACAGGTCTATAACATTTCATCCTTTCCAAGAAACCGTGAACAAACTGCAACCAATTTTCATTTTTTCAGGAAATACCAGCTTGTGTACAAGGGAGAATCTCCAGTTGAAATGTTAACTGAATTCCTGAATAAACCAGACAAGGCAATTCCTATCAGGTTTATCCCTAGATAGTCAAGATTCAAGCGAGATAGATAAAAACAGCTGTTATTTAATTTCCGCTTCTTTATCGGATGCTTTATACATTGTACTAATAGCCGACTTAATTTAAAATTGTTCATACCAAGTATCTTGTTTCTTAAGTGCTTAGGTTGAACAAAGATACATATTTTTACGAAGAATTATGTGTATCTTTTAACAAATCAATTTTTAAAGTATTATAATATTTCGTTCAAACGTAGTTTTTTCTTCACTAAAAAATGTTATAGTTTTAAAGTTTAATTCAAACCTAAAAACACATGTATTTTCTTTAATTTCAAACCAAGTTATTTGTTTCAGTGTTAAGGTTTAAACTTAAGTATTTTCCCCAATAATTGTGTATTTATTTCATTCCCCAGCTAGGTGTTGAGATTTGAACAAACGTGTTTTTACCAATAAATAAGTATATTTAACACCAAGGAATTTGTGAAGTGTTCAGGTTCTAAAAATATTAATACTTTTCCCAATAAATACGTATATTTCATAACAGTGATTTTTTAAGTGTCTTGATTTTTAAAATGCATATTTTTACCTATAAATGTGTTAATATCATACAAAGGAATTTACCTTCGAATATGTAAATTTCATACCAAAGTAATTGATTAAAAAAGGTTTTAAACAAGTATTTTTCTCAATAAATATGTTTATTTCATTCCCAGGTGTTTAGATTTAAACAAACGTAGTTTTACCTATAAATAAGTATATTTCATACCAAGGAATTTTTTAAGTGTTCAGGTTTTAAAGATATAAATTATATTTTTCCCAATAAATACGCATAAATCATACCATACATACAATACTATAAAAAAACCCCAGGGCCCCTTCGGCCATCCATGAGTGTCCACAAAAAAATTTCAGCCCAATCGGTCCAGCCGTTTGGCAGCTATATGCAAAATATATATTTACGAATGTCTTGTATTATTATACAATATATTTTTCCCAATAAATACAGTCTATTTCATACCAAGTATTTTTTTCTTCACTATGTATCTATAGGTATTGCATACCTTCAATTTAGAAGAAAAAAAATCCTCTGTCTTGGACCACCAGAATTGATAGGAAGTAATCAAACACAAATATTTATATATTAATATGGCTGAATATATACGGTGGCTTAGGTCATTGGTGACGCCTGAGGACATTCTCATGATACCATCTAGTTAATATCAGGGTAAGAGAAACATAAAAATTCCAAGATTTATCTTAATTTGGAATTTTTAGGTTTTTGCCAAACATATACTTTTGTATAACCAACAGCGTAAAACTACGTATATTAAGGGATATCAGAGCTGAAAACTTTAGAATGTGATATCCTTAATCCCGATCTGTTAATTAATCTGGAGATTAAATTCATGAGGAAAACAAGGAATATTTAATCTGGTAAGAAAAAGAGCGGATCAAGCCTTAATCCCGATATCCACCATTCAAAAGTTCCCAGCTCTGAACGTATTTTTACAGATGTAGAATAAATATTTTTACGTATTGCAATTTGCAAACCTAGAAATACGCATGATTTAAGTATTTTTGCATTGCTTTTTCATCCGTTTCCTTAAACATTCTAAGTTCATTGGAGTTGAGAAGCCTGAACAAATCAAACCCGATATTAAATATAAACGATTTGATACAACGATCGTTAAGGCTTAAATATTTTTTTCATGGCAGAGTCGCATTTGGCATATTTTAAGATTAATCTTATAGAACATACGATCAGATTTTTGTCAAGGTTTCTGAAATCTAAAGAAATATATCTCCATGTCAATTTTGAATCTCAAAAGTCAGTAGTTTCATGTTCATCTATCTTGTGCAGACCTACAGATAGATTTTACTTCTCCTCGAAAGTGGTCATACTTGGTTATTTGGTTTGTGCACGCTTCGAGACTTACATGCGTGGCCATGTAAAGCGGCTTATGGGCTTTTGTTGGCTACAAACATTTACGTATGTTTTGGGCCATACATCTTATCATATTTTCTCTTAAAATTGTTCAGAGTTTTAGAAGATCTAACACTGCACTGTCAGGAATTTCATTCCAAAGTTTGGGAGTTCTAACACCCAGTGTTTTCTCCATTCAATATTAAAACTTTTATGTTTTAGATTGAGAATATTCGAGGACAGTCTGGTATCTTGTATTCGAGGACAGTCTGGTATCTTGTATTCGAGGACAGTCTGGTATCTTGTATTCGAGGACAGTCTGGTATCTTGTATTCGAGGACAGTCTGGTATCTTGTATTCGAGGACAGTCTGGTATCTTGTATTGTATTTTCTGAACATCTTTCAAACCATAGATAGATAACCTTAATTGAAAGATTAACGGAATTGGCTGAATCCGAATATGAGGTTTTATTTCTATCTATAGCGTAATAAGGCGGGAGTGGTTAAAACTGCTTAATGCTAAAAGCAATGCAGTCCGATAAATTAACAGATTTAACAAAAAAATGATTTATGCCTTGCATTCTCGGTCAGTAGCACCCGAGTGAAGAGTTGAACAGTATGCACGTTCTTAAATTGAAATAAATATTTTGACTAAATTTAATTGACCAAACTCAAATTGTTATATTTGAATGATCTATAATTTTTGGTTAGTTTTAGAATAAATCTTCTTTCAGGGTTAAAAGTTGAAAGTGTATGAAAAGCAAATGTTTAGAATAAACACTCTTGTGAAGTCTGTATCCAGAGTAAAAGTCGATAGTAAAACTATAACCAACATCGTATTAAACATGACGAGGACAACAATTCCCAATTTAAAACTTTTTTTGTAAAATCAAAATTATAATAGGAATTCTTTTTATATTAACTCTTGAGCGTTTTCAAGACAATGATAGGTTTTCCATTTTTCGAACATATCCTGAATTTGAAACATTGTCGCGTTTTCGAGACAAAACCCACTTTCCCGTTATTGAGTATAATCTACAATTCAAAACAAAATCTTACTTTCATAACTTGCAAAATAAATTACTGAAAACAAAAACTATCTTATGAAGACAACTTCTGAATTATTTCTAGAATCTAAGTTTCCACATTTTATCTGTTAAATTAAAGAATATGAATGATTTATTTTCAAGCATTTTAAACGAAAAGTTTCCCGCATTTCTAGTTAAATCTATGTTGTAAGAACATATGATATTACTATTTTGATTTCTAAATTTTGTAATGATTTTTAAATTATAAAAGAAGTTTGTTTTTATTACCTATTTTGTTTATTCTTTTCCTTTTCAAAACATCTTGTTTCGTTTCATAAGAGCATAAATACTTGAAAATTGACATTGATATGAATTCCGTATACTCAGTTTAACTACCTTACATAGCCGGTCACTCTCTTTAAATAGGACATTACACTTTATATTTAGAGGATTACTCAAGATTACGCCTTTCTGTAGTTTAGAATTTGCAAGAATTTTCCTCCTCTCTCCGAAGAAAGGATGGGGGGGGGGGAGGTAGATTCGAATTTGTTAATCGTATTGGACTATTATTAAAAATGGCAATATCTTAATCCTTTAAAAAACCGGAAAACCGTTCCGAAAAGATCGCCGTTACGACATGTTCGTTTTTGGGTCGTTTTTTGCATATAACTTCTGCCAGAGTCAAAATTTGACATAGTACAAAAAAAACATATTTAGAATTAACAATTTAAAATACATTTTCTTTTCTAACACTTGGTTAAATTTAGACCCTGAAAGAAAATATAAACAAAAACGAACCAAATGAAGGCACACCATTGGATGGGGTTTCAATATTTATTCAACTTAATAAATACAACAGCAGAATGTTGGAGGGAGGACTAAAAGCATAAAATAATGGTTCTAAGTCGCAGGACAAACAGCAGCTATACTAGCAGTGCCAACAGCTGATCTGTCAGCTGACATTTAACATAACGTGCAAACTGGGAGGGAGGGGGTAAGAGACCGATTGAAAAATTGCGGATTTTCGAGATTGATTTTTCGCAGATTCGGGATTACGGTTATTCCATGCTTTACAATAATAATTACAGAATCAAATCACAGTGAGACAAGTTTTATCAATTGGGGGTAAATATTAAATAATAAACCTGGAATGTCACTAAACCGGTTAAAATAAATATAAAAAACGGATGAAAATTTAATTCATTACAAGGAATATGATGACTTCCCAAAATGCGGTGACTGGTGCGGAACCCCTTTTTATTAATAAATTAAATTTTTGCGCAATTACATTGTTTATGATAAAGCGCGATGGCTTGCGCGATCATAGAATGCGTTTCAGGCGCGCTTCAGCGTTTAAACGTCGTCTTCGAGAGTGTGCTTCACTTTGCTGAAATCAAACTCCTCACCTAAATTAAATCAATTAGAACGTGAAATAAACCTAGAAAAAAACAAAAAAAAATATCATTCCATCTTTACTGCCATTTTAATTGGTTAATCATTAATCATTTTATTATATATAGATTATCTGGATGTACAGAGTTTCCCATAAAATATTAAAAACTTTTAAAGTAACCTTATACATTTTTTTGAAATGATTCTTTGTTTTTAAATTTTCTGATTAGTCCCTAGAAAAACATTTTTGAGTGTTTGATCAAGTATGATGTGGGACACCCTGTTCTTGAGAAAAGTTTCCATGAATTTTAGTGGAATTTTACAGGTAACTCGCACAGTACCATCTTAATTTGCGCAAACCTGAACCAATTCTTTTTCTTCATCGCTTTATCATAATATTTGGGAATGATAAGAAAACTTAAGTGGAATTAAAAGCTAGAAATTTTAATTACATTATCGCAGCTTTCAACATATTCATAAAATAAATTAATTTCTAAATAAATGAAAATAAGCATTGATTTTGTTAATAAGAACTAACGGGCTCTGGTCTTATGTAAACTTTTATTCTGAACATTAGACCCCTCCCCCCGGAAAGATAGTCAAGTCACTACTAACCAGTTCCTCTCTTGAAGATGTCCAGTACGTTGAGACAAGTCGTCTCGAAGTGAGAGGTTGCATCGTAGGATTTGGAGATGAAAATCTGGTTCTCCGTTCCATCATTCATTGGCTCAAACACGTCGGACACCTACAATATTAACAGTTGAAAGGAACTGATCACGTGACTGAAAAAAAACTTCGCAAAACTGAAAA